CTTCTGCCACTGTTTGTGGGGTGCATAAACGTGCAGGTTTGCCCTGTGTTTGCCCCAGGACCAGCCAGTGATCACACACTGATCCCTGTAAGGGCACCTGTGGAGCACCCACAGCTCTGCACAGACGACGCGTTGTTTGCTGGGCCACACGTGCCACAGATTTGGGGGGCAGTGTTCACTGAGTGTTACCTCTTTGCTTCCTTTATACCCCTGACCACTGGATTGCCTGGGTCACGGGGCACTTCTCAGCCTGGTCCCCTCTAAAGCCTGGCACCCAGGTTCTGAGAAAAGCAGGAAAACACAACCTACAGGTGTGTGCAACTGGCACAGGGAGGGGGACCTGGTTTCTGAGGTTTCCAACTGCTGGCTGATCCTGGCTGGTGTCTGCCTCCCACTTCGACCACACACTTGCTGTTTCTGCTCAGAGCTGGGGAGCACCAGCATGCCACCTTCCCAGGGACCACATCCCATCCAATGTGCACCTTCCCAGGGACCACATCCCATCCAATGTGCACTTTCCCAAGGATCAGATCCCATCCAGTGGACACCTTCCCAGTGATCAGATTCCATCCAGTGGGTACCCTCCCCAGGGCCCTCGACAGAAGGGACAGAGCAGGGAGGCTGTGGGAGAGGCTCATCTTTAATGAGAGGAATACAGAAGTGCAGGAGGTCATGGAATGAGCACAGTGCCACAAGTAGCCCAACCTGGCAGGGAGCAGGGGTGATCTCCAGGCAGAGTCTGCGTGCTGATGGAGTCACAGGCTCCACCTCACTTGCGGGCCCGGGTGGGTGCCAGCCTGCTGTACTGCTCATCCTCCCGCTCTCCGAGGGGCTGGAGGGGAAAAAAGGGGGAGATGAGCTCCAACCGTGCCTGTCCAGCCCTGGGAGGGGCAGCTGACCCAGCCTCTCTTTGCCAAGCCTTTTCCAAGTGTCCCTCCCCGCACACAGAGTAAGAGAGACTGGGTAGCTGAGCTTGCCCCATCCTGGGAGATGCAGCTGCCCCATCAGAGAGCAAAATCCACCTCTAGGCATTGATTATGCCCCATCAGATGTGTCCCCATGGCCAGGCTGGGCCCACACCCCACAGAGGTGCTGAAGGTCACCCCCACACCCCACAGGGGTGCTGAGGGTCACCCCATACACACACAGGTGTGCAGCCACACTCACCTGGTAGAGCTGGTCGTTGGCAATCAGGTTCTGCCTGTCAGAGGCTAAACGGAGAAGGAAGGTGCTCAGGGATCAGGGGAGCCACGGGCAGCGTGGTGACTTTAAAACCAAGCCCATCTGCAGTCCCTGGGTGCCACGGAGCAGCCCCTGGGGGTGCCCAGGCCCTGTCCCCCCTCACCTCGTGACATGTGTCCCCTGTCGTGGCCGGTGACGCAGTACACGGCCACTGCCAGCAGCATGGTGGCGATGACATCGGCGATCACGATCCCCGAGACGGTGGCAGCGTCCACCTCGATGCAGTTCTGGCACACTGCAAGCACAAAAGGACACAGACAGGCTCCAGTCCCGGGCCAAGAGAGACCTGGGATTGACTTTGGCTCCCTGTGTGACCCAGCGGCAGTGGCACAGGATGCCGTGTGTCCCCCAGCACTCAGCGCAGGGTCAGAGAGAGGCCAGCAGTGCGGCAGTCACGGCACTAACTGGGGCTGCAGGGCTCTCACGGGGACACCAGGAACAGGGGAATCTGCAGCAAACTGGTGGAGCCACCCACAGGCTCTGGGAAACCAGCAGTTCCCTCAAAAATTTGCTGGGGTGGGAGCTCCAGGCAGTTCTGGCTCCAGACAGCAGGCGTGCAGCACTTACTTCGATAGTGCACCTGCAGCTTCTCCTCTGTTTCTCCTGCTTTACACGTGTAGAGGCCTCTGGGGTCGTCGTAAACCGCACTCAGCTCCAGCTGAGTTTGGTTCCCAAGGTCGTTCCCATCTTTCCACCATGTAACTTTACCTGGTAGTGTACATTGCAGGAACACCTTCCCACTGGTTTCTTTCACAGTTATTTTATGTCCTGTAACAAAAAGAGAGAGCAGAGAGCTTCAGCGCTGAGTTACCAACCCTCACAGTGGTGTGGAGCTCAGAGCTCCTTGGTGGAGATGAAGCACCACGTCAGGCTGTCCCTGAGCAGCAGACAGGCCACAAGAAACAAAAAAAAACTGGAAAAAACAGACTCTGTTGTTGCAAGGCAGGGTTGTCACAGACAGTAACACCGGCAACTCCGGGCTGTCACAGCAATGGTCTAGGGCAGGCAGAGCTGGCAGCAATCCCATCCTCACTGCACTGATCCTCTCTTCCCCATGGCCATTTGGAACCTCACATCCAGGTGGAAAACCCCTCCAAGTCATGGGGCTCCTTCCCAGCACCCCAGACCCCCTGGAGCATCTCCAGGGGCCGCGGCGAGTGCCCAACTGATCCGAGACCCAGGGACTCACCTTGGTTACCCCAGCTGGGCACAGCCAGGCTGGCCAGCACTGCCCAGACACCCAGGGCCCTTCCCCTCCACATGGCACGGAGGTGACGGTTCCGTCCCCTCTCAGAGAGCTCCTCACCACAACTGCATCATTTGCCCCAGCTCTGCGTCAGGTGCCGGATGCTGGGGGCTGGAGCCTCCCTCCCCCGGCAGCTGGGGATGGCTGGGGTGCTCTGAGCCTGCCTCCTCACCCCAGCCCGGCCTGACAGCTGTGGGAGGGCAGCCGGGGCTGAGGTGGTGGGTTCCCAGCAGCCAGGGAGCCTCCTGCAGCCATGGACCCCCAGGAGCCAAGGGTCCTCCCACAGGCAGGGAACACAGCAGCAGCCGCAGAGCCCCCACCATCCATGTGTCCCCTCCAGCACCCCCAGGTCCCCAAGCATCCCCAGGTCCCCCAGCATCCCCTGGTGCCCCCCTAGCCATAGATGTCCAGCATCCCCAGGTCCCCCAGCATCCCCTGATGCCCCCCTAGCTATAGACATCCAGCATCCCCAGGTCCCCCAGCATCCCCTGATGCCCCCCTAGCTATAGACATCCAGCATCCCCAGGTCCCCCAGCATCCCCTGATGCCCCCCTAGCTATAGACATCCAGCATCCCCAGGTCCCCCAGCATCCCCTGATGCCCCCCTAGCTATAGACATCCAGCATCTCCAGGTCCCCCAGCATCCACTGGTGTCCCCCCAGCTCCACAAGCCCAGCACTCACTGGTGTCCCCCCATCTACAGAACCCTGCAGCAGCCGCGGACCCACACGCCCCCCAGCCCCCCCCA